CTTTCTTTCTTCTTTCTTTTATATTTATTGACAACAAACAGAAAGTAATAATAAAAGATGTTACATTGTGTCAAAGGAGGTACATCAAAAAGCATGAGGGCTTGTAACAACAACAACAAAAGAGTTGCAGTAGACATACACCTGAATGATATGATCGAATGGTGACCGAAAGTTACGATAGTGCTGCATTTTTAAATTGCACGCACCTTGCACAACATGAAATTAAATGTATACGTACAACGTTAGTTTCCTGGTGGTACTACAGATTGCGTTTGTGTGCGTATTTCTGTTAGTTTGTTTGCTATTTCTCGTCCCATAAGCAAAGTTTTCACCTGTTGTCGAAACGATTTTGACGTGAAAATAAAAACATAAAAACTGGAGCTGTACTTCACATACCATAGTAATAATACGGTCTGCGCAATAAAACCTTCTATTGCTCGTCGATCTGAATCTTTTTGAAAGTTTAATGTTATAGCCGAATAAATATTGTATGCTGAATAAGGGAACACAGCGGTACTAACCACAATAATATTCATTAAAAACATTGATGTTAACTGAGCATCCATTCGTCGTGATGAAACTGATTGAACACTAGAACCACCACCGATAACACCACCACCGGTAACACTAGTAATAACGCTAGCATCAGTCCGTCGACGTCCAATGATTTGAATATTCCTACATGTGAGAAGGCCAAATAAAATCATCAATGAAAATGGTAACATACCAATCAATATTGGTGAATAAATATATGAAATATAAGAATTGTATATTGCATTAACAGATAAGCATACAGGTTGACCACCAAGTAAATAAATATCATAATAAATAAGTGTTGGTACATTAATTACTAAACATATGGGAACAGAACAAGCAGCAAGGAATTTTGCAGTGCGCATTGAACTAAGGTTTCTCATCTTTACTTCTCTACATGTTGAAAAATATCTATCGATAGTTGAAAATGTTTCCATTGTTAATGATATTAACGCCGCCATAATTACAAAATATGCACGTAATTTACACCAACTTTCTGATTTTATAGCATAATCCAGTTGAAAACCATTTGCTAATATTCGCGTTATAAGTATTTGAAGTATTACTAAACTAGATATAGATGCAACACGAATGTAGATTGAAATAGAGTTTTTACATAGTGTTCTTTGTGAAAATATGTTCGAACATTCATAAATTATATAAACATGCACTTCATACCTGGTGCTCATACGACCGAGATCTAAGCACTGCACATGCCATACACAAATGGCTTGTGATAATATTTAAAATATTACCAATGGTTCCCGTAATGTATAGAAGAATGCCACCATAAATATTGAATTGCTGTGCGATCAACGTAAGGATCGTCAGCGGCATGATTGTTATAACTAGAACGTGATAAGTGTGTAGTTGTTTTGTAAAAATACTTGTAATATTAAGATTGATTAAGACACAACAATGTTTTATTTCTATAGACAATTATAATATTTCGCTTGATAATGTGTTTGAAACGGGTATCGAGTTTGTATTTTGTAAAGTGCTTTCTTATTCAAGAGAGTTAACAGTAATTATCTTTCTTTCAATTTTCTACCCACACTATCTTAACAATCTTTTCGAAACTCTATAATCATTATGAAATTAAATGATTATTTTCTTTCATTTCATATTCGCCTGAAGAGTAAGTAGTCTAAGAAATTAGATGAACCTTTTTTTTGATAATTTTACCTATGGCTCAATTCAATCATTTTTTGTGTAAGGATTAGTACAACAAAAGTTGTTTTTGAAGAAAGCAGGTCATTTTCTGTATGCAGATGAGGAGTTCTAGGTGAAGAGATTTCGGACCACCGTAAGACATATTTTGAGTATAATTATGATTGATGTGTCGCTTCAGAATGTACATGTTGCAAGGCTGCATTGCGTGCATTAAATTAGCTATTAGACACAAATGATATTCATCAACATTTTCCGTGATTTTCTATATCACCGATTCCCTCGAAAGTATGTCTTTTTGCAAAGAAAAGAGATCACTATATCTGTAACATAGCTGTCTCATTGGTGTACAACTTGTTTAATCATGTAGGTCGATTTTTACTTGTTTTTGTGAAATTAATGTGGTCACAAGACTCAGAACTATGTGTTTCACTTATTGCTGATATTCTCAAAATACTAAAAGAACGTTCATACTATCAGTGAGAATAGGGAAAATCGGTTAAAAGATTACTTTACCTTACTTAGCTTTGTGCTAGATAGTACAATTGAAGTCACCGATAAATCCAAACGTTTAGACCTTCGGAACTCAAACTGGCCAAGTTATAAACTTTTCACGAATAGCCCCGTGAAAAATTCCTAAAGATAAAAGTTAAAAAATGTTTAGCTTTTCAGAGTCAACTTAACCATAGAAAAAAAATCGACTTTCAAAACAAATTTATACCAAAAGAAAACCAATTTTTTTGCTGTAAAATCCGACTTTTGCCATCTAAGTGGTATTTTCCCAAATTAAGTTATATGCCATTTTAATCATTCATCATCAATCATTTTAAATTGAAATAAAAGTAGGACAATATGTCCGAAGTTGAATGACAATGAGTACCACTACTACCCATCAGCAATTTCAACTATTTTGTTGAAATAATTCTTTCTGACAAAATAAATTTATACGAAAACTAGTGCCAGTGATGCACAATGACGCCTCTCTATTAGTAGTATACACCACCTGTATTGAATTGTACTAATTATGATATTGATATAAACAAAATTTCTCGTTAGTCGTAAATTAAATACAATAATCAATGATATCAATACTGGTTGTGGATCTGTATCATCTGGTAATTTGATTAAATGAATCGGTTAATTTTAATTAATCAAGAACTAGGGCTGTGACAGTCACCAGTTACCGTTACAGTACTGTAACTGCTGACCGGTAACGGTAACGGGTGATCAGTTGCCGTTACAAATAACGGTAACTACCAGTTACTTTGCAACGGTAACTGTTGAATATGTTTAACAAAGGTAGAAGCGTCTAGGATGACTTCTAAATGTACACTTCGAGATGTTGACCAATGTTTTAAGTACTCATTCATTTTAATAACTAAAATGGGTTTACGTTATAAAGTCCGACAACTGTCTATCGCGGTTTATTGATATACAGGTATTCACAATGCTAAATGACTTGTATACCGCGATAGTTTCACCTTTTGCGTTATATTGAGAGACTGCGATAAACTGCAATAACTTTTAAAAGATTATTGTAATCTGTCAAACTCATGCAAAAGATGTTGGCTACGAAAACTAAATCTTTTTATGTCAAAAGCATGGAAAAGATCATGAGAAAAGGTATGTAATATATCCTGATTCATCCATATGACCAGAAAACACGGTTAGATCTCTGAAATTGTACATATCGTATAATGATGTAGCAATCTAGTTGATGATAAGAAGCAAGAATAAACACTTTTTTCACGTGTTTGTTAATCGCTAGATTTTTTTGTAAGGCAACCACAGGTTTACCTTATTTCTTTTCAACTATTCTCCAAAGTTTTCACATATTTTAAACGGTCTCTCTGCAGTGATCATAGAGTAGCTGTTTGCTTGAGGATGAAAATTATTAACGCCTGAGAAGTGTTAGAGCCCGAAAAGCTTTCTAAAGACGTTACAATGCATTAAAACTTGACATACATTATGGACGTTTGTAAACATAACGCATGCGAACGTCTTCAGTTCACATGGGGAACTCCAGAGAACGCGTTAAAAATCTCAAAGTAATGTAAAGCCTTAAAAGGTGTCTTAAAGACCAAAAACAAATTTCCATCCTTGCGACGGACCTGCGAGGGTCCAGAATTCCTTCCTGGGTGTAGGCTTTCGGATCGCCTATTGCGTGCGAAGGAGTTCGCGATATGATAGCTAAGGCGTTCACATTTATTGAACAAGAACATAGGCGCAATAATAAGTTTAAGTACTTACGAAAAATTGTAATCAATGAACATGCATTGATTTTTAACGCTTTCCCATCCATTAAATGACGATGACGGCAAACAGTTGTTTACATGCGTTCGTATCGTTACCCTGCCCAAATGCGTCAAAGGTCATAATTCTGCTAACGCCTTCTACTTGATGTATGAATTCAAGTCAGTTGAGAAACGGGAAGGCGTTCGAACGCCTTAGTTTACTTCTTTATTTTGGCATACACATGATTGCTAAACGTTATGTTTCTGCAATACTGAAATGTCTCACAAGAATTAGTTAGTGATTTCTCCAGTTGATACTAAAGACAATATCTCATCAGCTTTACCAAAAGATTGGTAACACAAGTTCCACATACTCATTTTGCAAACCTAACAAAACAATGTTAGGAAGATTCGAACAAAGTAGGAAAAAGAAAAAACACACAACTGTTATTTTGTTCCATCGTGCAAATATGTACATTTCTCTAGTAGTTGCTCTGGTTTTACAAAAGAACAAGTATAGTTGTTGAAATCGCCGCTATGTAGAAATTGCAAAACCTTTTTTGCGCAGTCACGCAAAAACGTAAGTGACGTAACGCAAAAAATGGTTACAAAAGCGAAATTTTGCATACTCTTCTAGAACAAAATATAATCAAAATTAGAAATATTTAACTTGTTGAGGGGTAATAATTTCAATATACGAGTAACAGCAGCTGTTACTCTTACATTTTTATATTTACAAAGTTTTCTATTAAAACAAAAGTATGTAAAATTTTGCAAAATTTCGCTTTTGTCACCATTTTTTGCGTTACGCCGCTTATGCTTTTGCAGTTTTTTTTGCGTTATTCACTCGATTAACGAAAAAAAAGTTCTGGTTTGCAAAACTTTACATTTTCACATTTTTAAATCCAGCAGGGTCCTTTCAAGATGAAAGGTTGAATTTTCTCATACTTATGCTTGCGTTAAATTCAAAGCAGAACACAAATATATGCACTATTATAAATATTCTGGTTGTGCTTGTCTCGTCAGTTAACCGTGCCCGATTCTCATTTTATCCTAGGTTTTGACATGATTAGAAGCTTCCTTTAAAACTGTTTTTGTAGTATATATTTTAACCTCACGTAGATTAGTTTGTGAGAATAGCATAAGAAACCAACAGATAATCACTTGGCAACGACGTAGCTTCAGTGAATCCCAAATGAGCATTACCTGCACGTAAAGATTAGTTAATCATGTTAGACATGTGGAACTGAACATAACTTGAAATGTTTAAATAAATGAGTTTCTTCAATTTCAAAAAAGTACTCAAAAATGGATTATGACACCGAAAATAGGTTTTCGCTACGTTTTTGAAGTTATTAATAGAAATAAATTCGGTGAATACATATAGACGAAAACCAGATTCATGTTCAGCCTTAAGAGTTATTTGCAGTCTGTATGATTTTTCGTTGTTTTTGACATAAATCAAACACCCGGACGCGAATATTAATAATATAAGGAAATAAACTACGGACAGGTTTTTCTTGTCAAAAGCCTTTCCTAGATTATGTCCACCTGCATACAAAATCCAAAGTTATGTGTTCAGTACGTTAAATCAGTTTTAAAAGAAAAATCTTTCTTGCCATTACCGGTTTGTCGCACCCAACTTTGCTGGCAGAATATCAATCTCAAAGATAAATTGATTCAATTTTCGTTCTCGTTGAACCGAAACAAGAGAAAATAACCATTGAACACTCAAGGGACATTGCCATTTCCAGTGATCAACATCAACGGCAAAAATTTCTTTTTATACACAGACACAGACGTGTTCATTGTTCATTATCGTTCTCATTTTTGGTAATGGAGCGAACAGAGAACTTACGAGTCGCCCGTTCATTATTACCGTCGTTTGTCCCATTACCAAAATGAGAACGATAATGAATAATGAATATGTCTGTGTCTATGTGTGTATAAAAAGAAATTTTACAGTTGTACAATTTCATTTTTATTTTATTCTAATGAAGAGAATATCGTTCTCAAAACATTGATACCTTAATAAAAAATAAGGAAGGAAAAAACCTCAACAGTTTCAACTTAAAAGGACCTTCGTTTTAATCGTCATCAATACAGTTAGACGTAAATAGTGGTAGGGTCCGGTGAGAGTGAATTATGAGACAAAATTTCATCACTGGACTTGCAACACAAATAAACACTCTCAATCGATCAAAATGCCAGAAATCGAAGTATCGATATATACATATATTCAAGGTTATGGATGTAATGATAGATATACTGCATGAATTCGTATGTGTGAGAATTATGCAGCTTAGGCACATGTATGTAAAGTGGATACAATGTCTACATGCACTTTATTTATTTTCTCTCAAACTAAAAAATACAGCAGAAAAAATCAACGTCTTACTGTTTATATTGACTTTTACCCTTGTCGAAATTTCATTGTATTATGTTCTCGTGATGAAGTTCTGTCATGATTTGGCATAGTATGTTGCTTAACGTCAATATATGATCCACGACTTAAACTAGTTTTTGTAACAATTCTGGGGTGAAATTTTTTGGATAAAACAATTTGCCAGTTCCCTTCGAAGGTTTTAATATCATGAACATGTCTTACTGACGTAATTAACGATTCTGAATCACTATGGCATTGTTCACATGAGTCGAATGGTGCTAAATAGACATCTTTTTCAAAATACAGCTGTGTAATCAATTGGGGATATCCTGAAGCGGTAATGTTGAAATGAATGTGTGCTGGTCGATATCCACCATCATCATAACCTGAAAGATTGAATAAATTGCTGCTGTGTATATCAGTGTTAATTATTTAATAACAGAAATCGTGCGTTTCTATCAGCACAGTGATCATGATCAAGGGAAATAAAAAATGAAATGAAACGTTTGCAAGGTTTCTGTTCTGATTAGGGTGGGGAAGTAGGAAACATCCTTACTCTAAATTTCGGCACTATTCGTTAGATTTTTGAAATTTTGTTCTACTAAAATTTGTCTAATCTTTTATTATTCTTTATTACTCCGCAGTGTGGAGTAATAAAAGTTCTTTTCATTTTCTGTCCGCCAACTTTTTAAAAAGACTGTCTGCCATAAAGACTGTCTGCCCACTTTGATTAAGAAAAATCGGAAACCCTGAATGTTTGAACAGTATATACAGCAGAAGAGAACAAGAATTATTAAATTACTGAAAAAACGGATATACAGGCCTTTTTACTATTCTGTTTTTTACAGTAGGATCAACAAGAATGAACACGTAAAAATATGCCTAAGCAAAAGTACTCCGGGCAAAATATCTAGATGCTTTACGGCTTGTCCACGTAATTCGAGACTTCGCTGATCAAGTTTTTGAAAACATTATTGTAGAGTAGAACTGAAAGGAGCATGTCACTAGATGCAGTTTTGGGTGCTAATTACGAATCTCACATTATTTATTTTTGCAAATTAAATTTCGGCACCAAAAATCCAGTTTTACATTTTTAAAAACTGTATTTTCAATTTTCTCACCTAGACACTTTTCCTAATAGAAATGAAAAACCAAAAGGGTTTAGAAACAACAGTACTAAACCCAAAATGGTTTAGCATCTACTTTACAAAACCCAAAAGGGTTTAATAACCAAACATTTTGTAGAAAATTTTTCCTAAACCGAAAAAAGCGTATTTAAAAACAAAAAGGGGTTTTCTGTTTGACCAAAAAAACTAAAAAGCGTTCTATAGAAAGAGTCGAAGGGTTTTCTAGCTTTGATAAAAACCAAAGGATTTTTCCTAACTCAATTTGGTTTAGGAAAATACTGTTTTTGGTTTTTCAAGTAGCGAAGGGTTTTCCAGTTTGGGCAAAAATCAAAAGGTTTTTTTGAAAGAGTTAATCACACACCTTATATTAACAAACGAGTTAAATGTTATGGATCATGTCCTAATTTTTTCGCTCGAACTTCAGTTCTCCTATATTTATTCAGACTAAAAAGGTTGTCACTGACAACTTTTTTTTTTTTTATCTTTTTCAATAAACAGTTAAATCGTATAAGTTGTCTTGATATTCGGAGCCATTCGGAACCTGTACGAACGCGCAAAATTAGTAAACTTTCTCCTAAAGGGATTAGGAAAATGAAACTATTCAAAACGAATAAGGGTTTCGGAGAGCTCTTAAACCCTCTCCGAAACGCATTTTTATGTAAACTCCTAAACCCTTATTCGTTCTGAATAGTTTCATTTTCCTAAACCCTTAAAAGTTTTTTAAACTACGCTATTTTTTTAGAGCGTAGGTCCAAAAATACTGTATTCGAAAAGCGCATCACTGAAAACTTATAAAACCGCGATTTTTGTTTGATGCATTTAGTATATTTTAAAGGATTTATTCGTTTCTTTTCCATTTTTTCTCGTTAATTGTCATATTTTACGGAAATACTAACAGTCAAGTTTAGCTCAATGCTCTCTAAAAAGAAAATGTATTTTAAAAAACCAAATGGGTACTTCGTTCTGTCTACGAAACCGACTTTGGTATTGTATGAGGTACAAAAAAACAAAATTGGTATCCGGACTGCTGCTAAACGGTACTCTAAGAAATCGAAGGGCTTTTCATTTGGAAAAGGGTATTTCACCTTTGAAAATACCCTTAGAGCGTAGTTCATTTCCATTAGGATACCTCAAAGGATTTAGTAGGTTATGAGTGATTGGTATCCCAAAGCACCAAAATAGTTTTTGTTATCAAAATAAAATAGCTTTTTTATGAAATACCAAAAGTGGTTTTGCAGAATGCCAAAAGGGTATTTTCATTCTTAAAATACCCTTTTGGTTCTGTAAGATACTTTTGATGGATAATTTTTTCAAAATATCCAGAACAGTATTTTAAATAGTGAAACTAGTATTACAGGATACCAAATTGGTTTTTCTGCTTTTCAACAACCTTTTTTGGCTTTTAGGATACCGATTTTTTGCTATCATTTTCAGCCCAGGTTTTTTTACACTTAGTTTTTACGCCTATTTTCAGCACCAAATGACTTTCTAGTCATGAATTAATCAAATAGATGCATTTGCAAACTTTTGGTAGTTTGAAAATGTTTGAGATAGCGCGGAAATTAAAGAAATAGTGCTGGAAAATCTGAAATACTGCCTGCTATTTGAAGAGAAAGTAATGTAAGTAATGTCCCTCCTTATCTTTCCAGAAGGCGTCTCGTAAAANGGGTGAAAGCAGGACATTTTTAATGCTTTTCCCTCGAAAAATTCAACTTTTTCAAACATACCTTCAGCATTTTTTTTAAAGTCATACTCATCTCAGATAATCTCTAAAAGCGGACAATCTTTTTTAGCCGGGCCTCGATGCGCACTGATGCGAATTTTTAACATTCTTTCTGGCATCGGTGCGTTGTATTTTACAGTACCAAAAAGGGTTTTTTCTCCAGAATAAAATCAAAATTTGGTATTTTCAAACATATTATATGTTTGAAAATATTAAGTAGAATTATTTCTTTTTCGTTCGTATTTTACTAAATCGTTTTTATTTAGTACCAGCGATTCAAAAAGAATATGGTGTTTAAATACCCGTAAACGTAATCTAGAAGACTAAAAGAAGGTGTTCTAAGATACAGAAACTGGTTCTTATTAGTAACAAATGCGAATACCCTGTTTTGGGTTCTGTAGGATACCTTGTTTTTTAGAGTGTGGTTAGAGTGATAGACTACTAATCTATCAGATATAGATTCAATCCTTACATCTGACGTTATTACTCTTTTTTTCTTTCTTTTCTGTTGACGGTTTACTGGCTGTTTTTAAACCATTTACTGACAGTTAGCTGCCTAAAAATGTCCTAAAAACCGCCTATTTTACGTAGACCGTTTTAGCGCCGTAAATTGGTAGTTCAAACTTTCTGAAAACTGCCTATTTACAGCCAGTAAACCGTCTTTTAACGGTCAAGTTTCGCATGAAAATTTGATATATGAGAACGCAGTTTACTGGCAGTTTTTAGGCATTTGAAAAACCACCTATTTACAGTGGTAAAACCATACGATCCGAACCATCAAAAAACCATCTAAAAACTGTCTGAACGGTCTAAAAACGGCCAGTAAACTGCCTGTCAACTGGCAATTAACCGGGAGTTAACTGGCAGTTAACTTGGCAGTTTTCAATGCCCTGGGTGATTCTGTTTAGATTACATCCCGTGAACAAATGGAATAGATAAACTGCGCATGTCAGATTCTAAAAGCAATGAACTTACGGCCAGGAAACAGCGTAAAAATTTTAAAATAGCCGTTATCATCCGAATGTAAAACACCTCGACAAAACCAATCGTTCGATGATCTTCCTGATGAGTAAACACCGTTATAATTTGCTTGCCATACATCAAGATTGACATTTTTGATGCCTCGCTTACATTTTGAATCAAAATCAACAATACGTCCAGTTAATATCAAAACATCAAATGTTGGTAGATTATCACATAGATCATCTGTTTTCTTTGGTGCACCATCAAGCCAATAAGGTCCAAGAATATCTGGTTCTGTCAATGTACAAGTTGAGGATTGACTTCGAACTTGTTGATGAATCGATAAAATAAACGATACTAGCACGAATAAAATGACGGGCATAATTGTAGTTAAATGTTATTTACTACTTATATTTATGTTCGTTCTTTATCACCTTGAGTCAACAAAGTTGTTGTATGTGGCGTGAATATTTGATGTATGCTCCCTCTTTCTTTTATCATGATGATTAAAGAATATTTTTCTCATATTTCTAGTACGTCAAACTCGATTATTTTCTATTTAATGATGATACAATCAGTATAAGAAATTCGATTAGAGAAATGAACACTGGAAACATTTATTCTCTTTTCAGACTATAATTGAGAAACATTTCTGTCAATAATATGAATCCGGAACAAAAACTCTTAATTTACGTACATGTTGATTGGATCTTTGTGTTTTCTTGTAATTAAAAGTCCGGATTCATTGCTATACTATTACAAAAGATAAATAATAATTATCACGATAAATTGACAAAATATAATTGCTCTTTTTCTCTCTTGTCAACACTGAGAACTCTGAGAAAAAAACGCACTGATTATTTATCTCAGCCAATGCCTGATTTTCTTCATGCAATAATGAGGTGAAGGAATAAAATGCTTTTGGCAGATATGTTTTTGTTCAAAGTTACACGTGTCGAAATTTCGAGAGATATTTAATGCAAAAAATTACAATTTCAGGTCCGTTGTTTGGCAAAAACCTGTAGTAAAATTTATAGTAGTCTAATAGTCTCTAAGTAAATTTTAAATGGAAAGGCTCATTTATATAAATATAAGGTTGCACATATTCTGCTTTTTCAAATTAGACGTTAGGTATGATGAATCATCGTTCTTTTTGCAAAAAACGCATATTTCTGCAGAAATCTTGAAAAAAATTTGACATGGACAGTTTCCGAATTGATGAGGTATAAAAATGATTCAACTTCGGCGAGATAACATCTGACTGGAAATTGATGTTTTGGACAAACACATCGTTGAATCGTCTGAAACATAAAAACATGTCTGTTCTGCACAGTATTAAAATTTCAGAGTTGCACACGTCCATATAAAAACTCATACGCTGCCCCATTTGTACTTTTCTTTGCATATATTATTTAGATGTGTAACAGAATAACCAACTGTTATTATATCTTATCGCTGTTTCCGTGGTAAAACACAACAAATATTAACATCATTGTTGAAACCATAATGTCGTAGATTACCGAACTTGTTACTGAATAACGCTTAATATCGTTTTGTAATAATTTCCCACTATAATGCGTTTCTTTTCGAGAACTTGGATATTTCAAATTTTTCCAAGATGGAAAGTCGGATACATCTGTTCAGAGAAATTTAAATGTAATCCTCAATTGTTTGCATGAATAACTTTTATAAAGAACCAAATTCCTCTATAATCTTTTGATTGCGTAAGCACCCTTGACAAAAAATTTTCTGCAATTCTGATAAGAATCTTACTGGACTCCTATCAAATTCTTATATAAGATTCCGCAGGAAAGTGAATGGAATTTGATAAGAGTCTTATTAAATTCCATTCACTTTCCTGCGTAATCTTATATAAGAATTTGATAGGAGTCCAGTAAGATTCATTGGGTACTTATAAATTTCTTAAAAGATTCTTAACTGATGCTTATATAAGAGTTGATGCCTAGGGCAATTGTGATCGTGAATTGAGTGAAATACTGTCAGATTATTTTTTTCATTAAGTTAATGAACTATAGAAAAGCGGAACAGTTTTTGATCGGTGTATTCACGTGAACAGTAAGTTCTCCCTTTTCATAAAATCGAATATTACGTTCTTCACGCTTTGAACCTATTAATAATAAAAGCATACTTTCACAATTTAACCTTTAGAAAAACGACTCATCTTTCAGTCAGTTCTTTCGGCAACTTCTACAAACACAACTCAGTGGAGAAACTACGATAAATGATATTTTCGCCCAATCCAAGTGTGTCGGAATCACGTTTTTTCACTTTATTTCTTCGGTATCTCTGCGAAATGGAACTGCATAAGGCTGAAATTTGCATGCAATATGTAAGGCTAATTACTCCATAAATGCGAAAAGTTTCACTAAGTCTGATGCTTTCGTTACGATTTTATAGTCGAAAAACAGATCCTGACTAGGCATGCACCGAGCTTCGAGTTACCCGAAAACTCGAACCGAGTAACTCGAAATTCGAGCTATCCGAAAATTAAAGTATGTTTTTTTCTGATAGTTGTGATTCTCAGGCCTCCACATTAAAGAGGATCCCACACTTTTATACTATTTTGCATGTTAACTTCATTTTACACTTTACTCAAGTAATCTGAACTCTTATGTCGCTTTAGTATTTTGCAGTGACAAAAATTTCGTTTAGCACTTAGAGTAAGGCATTTTTGATTTCGATTGAACATCAATTATCCGAAACGGAAAATGCACTTGCAAATAGAATGTTTTGCACTTACTCTAAGTGCCAAACGAAATTTTTGTTACGGCAAAATACTAAAGCGACATATGAGTTCAGATTACTTGAGTAAAGTGTAAAATGAAGTTAACATGCAAAATAGTATAAAAGCGTGAGATCCTCTTTAATATGGAGGCCCGAGAATAACAACCATCAGAAAAAAAGCATACTTTAATTTTCGGGTAGCTCGACCTGGTGCATGCCTCGTCCTGACGGAATCACAAAAAACTCATGTTACACATTTCGTGGCTCTAGAAAAGTAACTTCAATCCGAAACTAAAATAAAGGAAGCATAGATCTAACTGGTCAAGATTTTCTTGACTGGTCCAGTAACCGACCTGAAAAATTCTGACTGAGCCGGGGCCTGTTGGCTGGACATATATCTTCTTTTGTGACCAGTCGAAAGCGTTTTTGACACCAACTCGAAGTCTGTATCATTAAAATTGCAAAAGACATTTGGGACGCATGAACATCTACATTTTGATTAATAAACTCAATATTTCGAGTTCAAATTTTTACTGTCAACTGTCTAAGGTTAGATACACATCCAGTGAAAATTAATTACTATACTCTCTCCAACCAGGTATTTTCGCTTTTAAAATTTTTCAATTCCTCTTGTTTGTTCTATGTTGCTTCAAATTTTTTCTTGTCTATGTCTGTGTGTCAGAAGTTGAATTGGCTCGAGTGTGTGAATGTAAAAACCTAACGACGGAGGAGTGCTAATGTTTCAGAAAAAATGCCCATAACCCTCGAACCATGGAATTCCAGAGAGAGTTAAGATGTTTCTTAGTTATTGCAAAATGTTTTACCCGGTTTTTTCTTCGAGAACATGATGCAGAAAAAGTGAATTGTTCAACTCATAATGAATGCGCGAGCGAGCAGGAATCAGAACAACTAACCGGGTCGAGGCGTTCATTAGAACAATTCGGCCCCGAACTCATATTTGTAATTGACACTCAAGTCTATTTCTTTCGCTTTTGGCGGGAGAATTGTCATTAGGATTTCTTTTCAACAATGAAAATATTTTTCCAAAAAAGCAGTCTATTAAAAGACTAGTACCAATTCTTATATTCTCACCTTTGACTACCTAGGACGCCGAGTTCCCGAAATTTTATTTCATCAGTTTGTACAGCAGAAAATTATCTATCGAATGACATAGAATACTTTGAAAAATAAGTGGCGGATTTTGGGATACGAGCTACTTATTATGAGGTCAAAAAGCGGTATCGTGGAAGAAAATTGCTTATATTTCACTCTGTTTCAATTTTTCAACGAATCTGGAATTATATTCATGACTTCTGGACAAAATTGTGTCAAACAAGGTGTTACTCAGTTAGTAAATTCAGAGGATGTGCACAGGAAGTTCAGCTCTCTGTCCCCTTATCTAAATAGGTCTTATTTTCGCTAGTATAATAAAGTACCTTATATAACACACTGTTTTTCGTCGTAATTTAAAATGAGACAAAAACGTTGGTATCGATCAATCAAACACGTGAGTATATATATTTATATATATATATTATATACGTATAAATAAGAGAATAATTGACACCGTTTTTATCATTTTATTAGAGACGTTTCGTTATGAACTCATAAACAAACAAGACGAAAGAGTATATGTATAGACAATACAAAGAGAGAGACAAGGACACAAATTAAAAGAAAACGTTTTCTTTTAATCATTAATTTTTAACGCCCCCCAAACTTACTGTCTTTTTGTAATCAGAATACATTTAATATGAAACTCTTCTGTGAATACACTCAAGCAAAAATTGCGAAAAAAGAACATCTAGATTTTCCCTGAAAAAATTTTTTTACTGGAACAATTATGCCAGCAAGAACATCTAGGTAAAAGAGTAAAAAATATTGACTTATCTAGATGTATCGGGTTGAATCCAGTGCCACACAATGCAAATCTCAATGCCTTGAGAAGCCAGAAAATAGGCAAGTAATGCAGTGGTTGCTTACAGTATACTGTAAGTAATCAGACTATAGTCTGGTGCGTGGACGGAGACAAAAAAATATGCTTATATAAAGTAGAGTGGTTAACGAGAAAATTAGTATTAATTAGAATTTGCTAGTTTTAATGTTTTTCGTTTTTGACCTGCCCAACTTCATTGATGAAAGTTCTGAGTTTAACCAAAATCAAATAAGATTTCATCTTCGAATATCTCCGTACATGCGGTAGAACCGAAAAAACTAACAACCAAAGATGAAATCTCATTTGATTTTGGTTTAAACTCAGAACTTTCATCGAATGAAGCTGGGTAAGTCAAAAACGAAAAGTGCACGAAATAAGTATATTTTTTTGTCTCCATTCACGTACCAGAGCACTGTATTGGAATAAATGTATTTATTGAAACACTGACATATCCGTGCATTGACAATGATGTCTAGATGTATTGTCTGAATCACTGAGTCAGCCAGATGCATGAACCACTTAATGGACGCTAAGTGCATTGTTCACAGCATTGCTCATGTAGATGCAGGGTGAGTCCAAGAAGCGTGTATGTATGCTTTTAAAGGGTCTTATTGTCCGACGGCGGACGGTACGTCCGAAAGCGTGCGTATAGGTATAAACTTGACGAATAGTCTGCTTATCACACGTGAACGCACTGACCA